CAGCAGGCTTCTTCAGAGGAGACAGCAATAAATGAGACGAAGCCTTTCTGCTGGATGCTGGCTCCTCATCGTCAAATAGATCGTCCCTATCTTCAGAATCAGAGTCCGAGATGTATTGCGCCCGTGCCTCATGGGTTTCAACTACATCAGAGACTGTTGGTTTTGGTGGAGGAGGAAGCGGAGGTCGGACTGTTGGTTTGGCGGCTCTCTGATAGTCACCCACCATAGCTGCAGGGGCCCTGCGGAGTTTTGTGATAGCATTTGATGCTTGTGTTGGCCTTGACAATGCGCCGTGGATACTGGCAATCTCCTTTGTCTCTCGTCGGACTTTGCGCATGACGCTTGCACCATTATGAGTCTTGGTACGACTTCCTCTGTTGAAAGCGAGCGTGCTTCCATTGGGGTCTCGCACTCCAAATCCCCAAGCCTTCTTTGGCCCAACTCTGCCTCCTCGGGGCAAGAGTCTTCTGTCATCAACAATCTTGCTGGTGTTCTTCTCCTTGTCCTCCTTGAGCCCCATGAGAGCATTCTTGAGCTTCGCCTCACTTTCCAAGAGGGCCTTCTGGTGATCTGACTTGTATTTCTCATACACGCGATACCATTTAGTTGGGTTCGGTGGTTTGTATGCCTTTTGCTTGACTTCCATAGGAAACTCATGCTTGATGAGCTTCAGCCACACTTCGCCTGTCTCGCCCTGGATTTGAGGCGAGTTCAGTTCGATGGTTCGTAGTTGTTTCGCGTTATCGATCTTGAGTAGAAGGAGGCGGACGGCTTTATAAGGAAGAAAATCGCCAACACTGTCGAGTTCGCGGATGTTTTTGATGCATGCCGCTGTGGCAAGTTCCAACAGAGACTTGGGTGGCATCTTGAAGCTCGGGGTATCGCGTCAAGAGTTCGTTTATACGTTTCGTAAGACCATGCGACCCTTATGGTGTTTATATGGGGAGATATGTGCAGGGTTCCGTGATAATTGTAGCGACGCCTGAGTACGGAGTAGCAGTGTTACAGTTGAGGAGTAAGACGGATTAAGGCAGCGTGGGGTTGTATAAGGTAAGGGGGGTAGCACAGTGGAAGAAGGAAGGGTGATTAAGTGTTGAGCTCCTTGGAAAGGTAGCCGAGCATTGTTATAAAGAAAGCGACAACATCGTAAATGTGTAATGTTCTGAGAGAGTTGAGATCGTGAAAGTTGTACTCGAATGTCAAAGTAAGCCTTTGTAGTATGTAGGTTGGGTTTGAGCCACGACGTAGTTGTCAGGGATGTGATAGGTGAGAAATACCCTCCACTGGGCGACTGGGGATTATAGACTTTGCTTCGTCGTATTAGCGCGAAAGTAAACTGGCCGATCCTTAAGGCACTCGCTCGCTGGCACAAAGAACATAGAACTTACTATTGAGAGGAGTGTGCTTGTCTTTATATTGGGTTCCACCCGCGGCTGTTACTATTATGCGTACTCCGCACAATGAGTAACAAACGGTAGCTTTCAGTTATAAACTTTACTGTGTAAGCTGATGGATGAATTATACAAACAAAGGCGATTCTGTTCCCATGATCCAATCAGAGCTCCACACCTCCATACCAATACCGTGTACACATCTCCACTTTAGCACTGTACTACCTAAGGTACCTAAGCATGAGAAAGGCTCCATGAGCGTGCCTGGGTCTCCACTCAAAGACATCATTCACAAGCTGATAGCCATTCCCTGGGGAGCGCGAATCAACAAAGCGCATACAAACTTCCTCTTTTCTGTACAGAGAAATCCTAAACTTTGGATAAACTTACATAGGTATCCTAAATATTTTGCACACAGGATCTAAGTTCCTCCGAATCGTCGCATCTCCAAGTATTCCTCGTCCTGCACAACTTCGACCACCATCATGGCCGATTCCTTCATCAAGCAGGAGCCCTTCATCAAACCCGATCCCGAGGCGTCTGGTTCTCCTGCGCAAGTCGACGAAGAAGATTTGTATGAAGATGCCGGCGACCTCGAATTCTACGACAAAAAAGCTGGCGCGTTCGAGCAACTCTACCTCGCGCGCGTTCCTCGATACATGTGGGAAGCTTGGTCGAAATTGACGGAGCGACTCGGCGACGACGACGAGATTCAAATTGGCACTCTGCGAACATGGAATGAAAACAAGCCTGATGGCAGCGTAGATGTATGCATACCTGATAAGATGTCATGACACCGTATTGACATACATAGACCAAACTTCGCATGCTTCTCTCCGCCAACTGCCCAGAGCATCAGGTGCTGCCTCGCGAATATGACCTAGTGGTCCAAGAACACAACGTTAGCAACCACTTCATTTTCAGCGAGGAGGATTTGCCCGGTTTCAAGGCGCGAAGCAAGGCGCGACAAGAGGCTGCTGATGCTGGCATCCCTGCCTCGTTGTTGAGGCAGAAACAAGGCAACAACAACGGAGCAGAACGACCGAGCTACGACCGTAGGAGCCGATACCAACCATACTATCGAAAAGCTGTTCCGAGTAAGCTTGGGTTCGCATAGCCGTGTCACGAATAGGTGCTAACAAAGCATTACAGAAAAGACAAAGATCTTTGGCAAGATTGCCTATGATGTTCGTGTTGAGCCCCACGGCAAAGATGAGGAAGAGCGGGTGCTTCAGCAGAAGATTCTGGATGCAGAGGCGAACAAATCCAAGGTCCAAATCATCAGTCGACACGCAGCTTCAGCCGTAGTGAACCCTGGAACTACCCGCGCAGCCGAATTCGGAGACAGCTTCATCGTACGTTCTGTTCCCGTACAATGTTTAATTCTCGGTTGTGTTAACAGACGATACAGAAAAATATCGCCGCCACGGCCAAGCCAAAGAAGGGCGAGGTGTTCAAAGCAGCCCGTATTCCAGAGAACCAGCTTCTGGATCTCATTTTCGATTGTTTCCGCCAGTATCAGTATTGGTCAGTGAAGGCTTTGCGACAAAAGCTTCAGCAGCCCGAACAATACCTCCGACAGGTGCTCGAGAAGATTGCTGTTCTCAACAAGAGTGGCCGGTTTGCCAACCAGTATTGCCTGAGCGATGCCTACCGCGACAAGGGCGGCGCAGAGGCCCAGGAGGCTGCTGCTGAACCTGTTGATGACGATGAGGATGATGCGGAGATGGAGGACGTGTTGCCCGTTTCCTAGGATCAGCATCAACGGACCACCTAGGAGAGGATAAAAAGGGGCGATATTTCACTTCAACGATAACGAACGGAGGATATCATTTAATGTGGTGTTCGAAGGATTCAGGGTAGGGTTTTTAGAGCGGCGATACCCTTCTAGTCTTATAGATTACCAGTCGTAATCAATCATCTAGCAAAATGCTTTGAGAGTCGTGATTCGCTCGTCAACTGAAGCTATCTTTATTTTATCCGATCTGAAACTGAACTTGGACTATAGCTTTCTTGGCTGGGCTACTCTCGCACTTGGATTATCATGATCCACTCACTACGTATTGTTCTAGATCATAACTACCTCTAGTACGTAATAACTTCCCCACAGTAACCAATGCACTCTAAACTGGTCAGAGGCGAGGCGCTTTCTAATTGTTATAAGACCGGATCAGCTGCTGTCCAAGGGCTGGAATCACCTACCTTGTTAGATGTATGCATTCATATGCCCTCTTCTACTCTTGATCACCCGAACAACCCCGCTTATAACCAAGGCTCGCCACAACATCTACTATCCGACCTGTCTCAAGATGCATCTGGTATTCGACTTTGATGGCACAATCACCCAAGAAGATTCTATCGGGGAGCTTGCTCGCTCAGCTCTCGAGATACAGAGGAATAAATATGGCCATGACCTACAGACTTCTTGGGACCAAGTTGTGCAATCCTATATTGCCGATTACAGACACTACAAAGATAACCATCCATCACCAGAGGTTACTCGAACATCTGTGGATCACGAGATCGAATTCCTATCAGGAATGAAAGACGTGGAAGAGACGTCTCTACGACGCATTGCTGACTCACGCATCTTTGCTGGTCTAGACGCTGAGACGTTGTCGCAAGCTGGTGCTGACGCTGTCGAGGCCGGCAGAATTAAGATCAGAGATGGATTTGCGGATCTTATAACCCTTGCAAGACAGAGGGGCTGGGATGTGAGTGTCATATCGGTCAATTGGTCCCGGGCCTTTCTACGAGGAGCTCTTTTACCGCATAATATTGAGGTTATTGCCAACGAACCGGCCTCAGATGGAACGATAAAAGGACCGGAATTTTTCGAGGGGAGGATGACCAATGTATGCGAGAAGAAGAAAGCTTTGAGACACATCATCAACGAGAAGGACGGGAAGGTGATTTATTTTGGGGACTCGACCACGGATATGCAGTGTCTGCTTACAGGAGGAGTAGTCATATCGAACAACGAGGAGTCTTCCTTGCTAAAGACTTTGAGAAGGGTCGGCATTGAAGTGCCACATATTGGAGCGAAGAAAAGTGGTAAAATATCCTGGGCGAGGAACTTTCGAGAAGTACTGGATAGTGGCTTGTTAGAAGCCTAAGGCTTAGTACAAAGTTTCCGGTTTCTAAAAGCCTAAAAGAGCCCTATATCTCTTTGTTGTTGGTATTAATAGTATATGTATGTACAAGGTATTCTCAACATCAAAGCGTTTGACAAAGCGTGCATGCACAAACCCAAGACTTGTGATGACAACCCTGGGAGTTCACGCACGCTTGCCGAATTAAGTACCTTTTAATATATTTGCGTTTCTAGTCCATGTAATATTCACATCGGAGGTGATCACTGAATGCTTTAAAAGGAACCTAAGTGAAGCTGGTCCGCCACAAATGATGCGTTGTTTTGTTCTGGAATTACTTGTTCATGCATTTCACTTGTCACAATGAATCAACAAACAAAGCTTTGATGAACATAAGAACAATTCACTCTTTCGAGACAGATATAAAAGGGATAAAATGCTCGATTTTTGTCAAATTCCTCTCCTAGATCAGGGATCCCTCACTCCAAAATCCAAACTCTGCAGAAGGATTATCAGTATGTGCGTTTACGGTCGAGTCGTTTTTAAATGCGCCCACGAGCGCTGGGGCATCTGCGTGAAGCGATGTCAGACAGCCAAAGACTTCCGCAATGGAAAGTTGACCCATGACTGTGTCGTCAAGAAGCCTCATGTACCGACTTCGCGGAGGATACAGACAAATTGCAACAAATGTATCACCATGGATGGCAAACTCGACAGGGCAAAGAAGAGCATTGACGATGTTAAGCAAAAGCTGAAGAGAATAGAAGAGAGGAAACTCAGAGAAAGAATGACGGAAGAAAACAAGAACGACAACAGCAAGAAAGCGGAGAGGAGGGATGAAGACCGGGATAGTAATGAAACGAACTGTTGGAGTTTCGAGACGGGACTTGGGAGTATTACCGAGGAGAGTGAAGTTGAGGATGAGCCTGCAAGTGGTGGAAGTAGTCAAGGCAGTTCACAAGTCTCCATGGAATACTAATAGAAGTGCATCAAACAGCAAAACCGACTCATTAACTGCCCGAATATATGGAAAAGCCCATTAATATCTCAATTGAAAGCCTGCAACTTGTCTGGCTCCTCTCGACTTCTCAGATATTACGACTATAATAAATCCCCAATTATCTGCACCCATTCACTTATGATTTTCTATACGTAAAACTCAGAATGTGGCAACCGAATAGACTATGATCACCAGCGTTCTCGTAGTCTGTATCCTTATAGCTCTACCTCTTACCATCTTGTCGGAGTGCTGACAACCGTCCTATTCAATAATTGTTTTATAAGGCTATCATTACTAACTGCCCATCATCAGCGTTCGCACAAACGAACATCTGATATGTTGGGCAGCAAGACTGAAATATTTCTTACCGTAAATGGCTATGAGTGCGAAGAATGAGTCCCGTGATGTTAGATGCATGTCACTCTATCCGAACCTGCGCCTCAGTCTTTACGCCCGAGATAAACCCAGAATGGCAGCTCGCTAATGTTGGGCTTCAAAACAGGAGCCAATCCGGCTTTGTCACTTCCCCGGATCTAAGCCACCCCCGATCCGCTCCGTGCGGGTCCGCCCCGGAGACTCAACCGCCGTCTTATTCGCCGATCCGAAGCCGGTTAACAGGCCTGTCAACCGTTTCCTACTTAACGGAAGTACGCAGCGAGGCTGAGGGCTCTAACTCAGTCCTCGAAGTGGTCCCATGACGGCGTTATGCGTTGCCCGAAACCCTCCATGGAGAGTTGGGCTCTCAACGAACAAGGCACCCCTGTTTGGGGGCTGAAGAGCGATGTCTTGGCAGTCAGCATCCAGGACAATTCGACAATTCATAAACAAGCTTGACCCGCAGCTGGACGCTCAGTAACATTGTGTGCATTGCATAGTTAGGGGTCAAAGACTAGCCATATTCTTCTCGCCTTAAGGAGTGTGCATTCAGTACCTCCCCACCAACACTATCAACTCAATCTCAACAACTCCAGATTCTCATGAATCCAGAGTTCTCCACCCCGTTTATTAGGGTGGCCGTTCTTCTCAAGTTCCGCAAGATCACACTGTCGGTCTCCGGAGGAGGCGCAAAACCGCCTTAATGGGGCTGGTACATCACGGCCTAGACCTGTTCAACTACGATCAGAAAACCTGCTCTAACCAGGTTTTGATCACTGCAAAAGAGACTCCGTCTAACATTGAATATGACGAGTATGTTGTCTACAAGCGGTCAGAGGAGCCTGGAGCACCATCCACAAAGCGGGATCCCTGGGTGGATGATGACGACCACATCACCCACCACTTCACTCGCGATGATACTTCGGGAACAGCTCTTTTCGACCTAGCCTTTCGGCGTGGGCACATGCTTGACCGTGAAGTCAGTACAGTACATTGAATACAGAGCAGTGAGCTGATAGTCTGAAGGGCAGTTTTCGAAAACCAGACGATGATGAAGTACCATCAGCCGGAATGGAAGGCCGAATACGCCGGGTGTAAGTTGAAACAGTGAATACACAAGATTTCTTGGTTAACTGAATACAGAATCTGTTTTAAGCGTAAAACTATTTACGACGGTGGTCGAGACATTCTTAGCATGACGGTTGATGACCTGGCTGCCATGAACCTTCATCCTGCCACGCTGCAATACTCAACTCGAACTACCACGGAATCTAGATTCTGGTCCAAAGACAAATCCCAGCTGAGTGAGTTCCTTCAATGCCACACATAGCTTTACCTAATAATGTAGGTATTATTCTCGCATTCTCAGAGATGCCAAAGACGCCCTGTGACTTCCTGTCCATGACATACGATGTCCGCGAACGCTCCGCGACCATCCTTGCCCGACAGTCATGGGAGCCAAGACGACACAACCTCGATGACCTCGACGAATATGATCATCGTCTGGAATCATGCAGAAATCATTGGGCGCACCCTCTCATCATGCCCGTTGTGCTTCTCCAAGTGCAATTTATGCGATGTGAAGAGGCTGTTATCGAGAACAACTCCAACGTGGCTCATTTGGAATACGATGTCAGCAACATTGCCGGCTTCGATGCTACAGAGACTGGGAAGCGTCTCAGTCGCACTTTCAGCAATGGCAAAGATGGCGAGAGAATTGCCTGGGGCCCAAGCACCATGACCAAACTCATGAAAAGGGCACACGAAGTTCTCAAGGACACCATTAAACTGCTGGATACTATTCGCTGGATGGAGAGAGCTATCAAAGTGTTAATATTGGCCGGAGACGAGTTGAATGAGCGAATGGGAAACTATTCTAACTTCGGCAATGATCTCAGTATGTTGAGTCCCACGGTAATCGACCCTCTGGGAGGACCTCCTGCAGTGAGTCCAGTTCTGCCTCCCAGAGATCTCCCTAGGCTTCGATTTCCTGATGAAATGACGGATGGCGATTCTTTGGGGCCCCATTGGCATGAGATCAGACAGTATCTTGATGGTTTGTTGCGTCTTTGCATGGGTCTTGAGACGGATAGGCGCATGTCGGAGGCCAGATGCCGTGCTCAGATCGATATGGTAAGTGGTACAGAGTTGAAAGATTAAACACCAACTAAAAGCAATAGATCTACAGTAAGATGGCCCAAGAAGACAATATCCTGAACGCTCGAATGGCTGTAGCATCATCACGCGACAGTTCCTCGATGAAAGCTCTCGCTGTGATAACCGCCATCTTTCTACCCGGCGAATTCCTTGGAACTCTCTTCGGTATGTCCATGTTTGACTGGCTCGGCCCAGATGAAGAAGACGACGATTCATCTAGACCTATGACATTCGGCGCGCATTTTTGGTATTATTGGTCTACAGCTATTCCACTCACTCTTCTGATTTTGTTCGTCTGGCGAGCTTGGTGGGTTACCCAAGATCGTTATTTCAGACGTCATCTTTCGCAAGAACTTAGCGAGGAGCGTTTCTGGACCGCCGATGGAAAGCCGCGCAAGCTAGAACGAAGTTTCATTTGGGATTTCTTCTACCTTTCCGCTAGGCGTGATGAGAAACCACGACCAGAAGATGACTTGGCTGAGCTGGAGACCATCCATTCTGGGGCGAAGGAAGGAAATGATGAGGGATTGACTGGGGCTACTGATATGAGGCAGAGACAGATTTTGGAGACGAGGAAATGGAGTCTTCATCAGAGAGGGACGAACGTCGCGGTTTAGATACAGACAAAGACGGAATCGTTTTCAAGCCCTCTATGGGTAGGTTGATACTTTTAAGTATGTTTAAGTTTCAGAGATGTTGTGTATGTTTTAGTTGCTTTTCATAGAGAGTTTGATAATTAGGCAAAGGATATCAAATTATTGTTTTCGAACGGCAACCTACAGCTAGGTTAGCCCGTGTATCTAGGAACATGATAATGTATAACCATAATCTTCTAAGTCTAACCACTGCAAAGTTTCAGATATCAAGTAAGCCATGATGAAGGGTTCCTTTCATAGAAAAGCATAGGATTCGATAATAAGGTAGTTGGCCACATCCCGGCTCTACTTACTAGAGGTCGCAGGTCTAGGAAGTCGTCATCTTATGTCGATACATTCGTCTATGTGGCGATCCATAACTAAGCTAGGCTACAAGACGTCAATTCATGTTATATCGTTCCGCGCTGTACCGGGTTTATGGTTTGTAGGCTCATGCTACAGGGTACAGTGAACGAGTTGCGTTTAATGCCCCAAGTTGGCAAGGGGTTGGTCAAAGGTCCTAAAGAGATGTCGGGGATCCGGAGAATATAATCATGTCTCAGATCATAGATAAGCTGCAGAATTTTCGATGCAAACGGGGCCACCGAGAGCTTACGAATCAAGTTTGTCAATGACTGGAATGAAAGTCGTAAATTGGAACGCCATGCGAGGGTATGGCGATGGCTTCACTAGTTTAGTCTTAGGGTCAGCCATCTACAATCACGAAATTTAGTCACGAGCTCTCTACCGTAAAGAGTATGAATCAGGAACATCGAAGAGAGAAAATCTGTTTATTTCAAATCACCAAAGCTTGGACGCTGTGCAGGCTGATCTAGAGAACACACGTTGAAACGATTTATCCGTTTTTCATGAGTCCAGAATGAATATCGGCGACGCCTTTGCTAACGTTCATCGTCTGGATCATGATCTAGACCCTTGATACTGGGGCAGTCTATTTTGTCTTGACTTCTTTGGTTTCGAGTGAAGACAACATTCAGGAGTTGCAGTTGTGAGATTATTGGAGGGGTCTTTGCTCCCTTCAGTTGCGGGAGCGCCAGGGTAAGACGAGACATTGCCGGGAGCGGCGTCTCGTCTTTTCAGGTCCATATGATATGTACGGTAAAGGGTTGTTTTGGTATGATTCAGGGAGTTCTTAATTGATGTTTCTCCCTTAGTCAATTGGATATATAGACAATATTCAAATCTTACAAGGCAATTAAGGGATCCCCAGATACACCCACTTTAAAACAATCACTTGTGCTTAATTAAGGTAGGGAGGGAGGGACCAGAACGCGCCAGGAGCAGAAAGGAAGGTACATAAAAAGATCGATCAAACGGAAGGAGGCTTACGCAGGAACAACTATCAGATCCCGACGCCATTCGGTTCCTAGGGAAACTCTACCTCAACCCTTCATCATCATGACCCACTCACAACCACATCATGAGCTTCACGCCCACAACCGCCTCTTTCTCAAAAGCCTCCCAAACTCTACCTGGCTTCATTGCGCCGCCTTTTCAATAACAAAATCTGCCAACTTACAAAGATTGACAGCCATCACCATGTCTTAAACTCCGACCATTTCACCTAGCGCTTTGAACCACTGGTTCCAGACACTAAGCTCATTCCTTGTCAAGGTCCCAAGACATACCAGGTCCACGTTTTAGGGGCATGTGGCGCTCGATAAGCTCGAATGATCTGTTTGTCATGTCTCATCCGGCGTCACGGCATTCCTAGTCGAGAACGGCATCGTCTTGACTGGAGCCCAGCGTTGCTTTCCGTAGCATCCTTGGAGGCTTCGTTAGACCAACACGCGACCAAGCTACGCTTTCGTCGTGATGCTATACTCTTTCAAGGTCATCTATCTCCCTCATGACTTCATTGATCAAGTGGCGTCTTTTCATACTGTCCAATGTGATAAATTTGCCCCGATTCCCTTGCCTTAAGTCCTTGACCCCCTTCTCTCCCAGTTGATCTCACCCTTAAGCCATTCCTTTTCCATCGCTACTCAACCCACGTCATTCGTTCCTTAACTTCATCTCATTCTTTAAAGTAACATAGTACTTCATAGACTACTCTCCGGTTCCGTCACCCCAGTCCTTGTCTCACAACCAGCCCGCCTTCAGCATCTTGTCTCAGCTTCACTTCACTCACAAGATAGTTGAACCCCTTGGACTATCTGAGTACTACCTCACACATCACGAGGTTTCACTCCTTTACAAACAACTTGTTGTTATAAGAAGCACTTATACTCACCAACTTAAATTTAACTTGCCCATATCATCCATTCGCTGTCTAGGCTTCTTCAAGTTAGAGGACATTTATATTACGGGCTCTCTCTCATCTTGAGACTTATTGCTGCGTATCAGACATGCTCAAGAAACTCATTCTTATTGCGCCGCTTCTGGTGCAAGCGCTTGCTGTGCCTGCAGTGGAGCCCAGACACCAACATCTTCATGGGCACATCGAACATACACATGGAACCAAGACCAAAATGACCACGTCTGTCCGTCGTGAAACAGAACAGACCGCCGCACCGCAGTTCATTCCTCCCAAGATGCCTTACGCACTTGACCCTAACACCAAAATCCACAAGACTACCACTACCGCCGCTAATTCGAACAATCCTAAAGAGACTATCGTCCCTGAGTTCATCCCACCTAAGATGCCTTTCGTAGCAAAAGCATCCTGGCAAAGGTCGACTAAGGACCAGGACAGCTCCGACAAGTCCGCCTCGGTTGCATCTGTGAAGAAGAAGACGGTTGTCAAGGTTCAGGATGAAGAAGATGACAATAACGACAAACAGCCAACTTTCATCCCGCCTAGGGCGCCTTTCCGAGGATCTAGCAAACCTCAACAGAGTCAAGCTGCCACTCCTCGAGATACAGTTCCCCAGTTTATTCCTCCACGAAACCCCTGGGCACAGTCTAAGCACAACACTCGTTCAGCAGAGAGTGACGACCAGGACGTTTCGCAAGAAACTGCTGTTCCTGATGTGGACCAGCGAGCTGCCAGTGGCGACGATGAAGTCGTTCCGGCACCTGAGCTCCTCAGGCGTGATGAAGAAGGTTCAGATAGCGAATTCTTCGATGAGGAAGATGAGGATGACTACAATCCTGAGGATTTCCCAAACCTGGGCGGCCCCGAGGAAGACGAGGACGGTTCTGATGATGATTCTGAGAATACTCCTGCCGGAAACACATCTGAGCAGGCAAGTCAGAACCCCGAGTCCATCAATGCTCAGGATGATAGCAGCGCAAAGAACTACTTTGGTGGTGACTTTGATGATGAGGATGACGCCAACAACGTACCTACTCGCCTAGAGGCTCGGGGTGTTGGAAAGCGGAACATCCTCTACTTCACAAACTGGTGAGTTGTAGCAAATTTTTGTGCAACTAGCGGGTGTTAATAATGAAGAACCAGGGGTACCTATGGGGCGAACTTCCAGCCCCAAAATCTGCCGGTGAAGGATATCACACATGTTCTATACTCCTTTGCTAAGGTTAACCCGAAAGACGGAACTGTGTAAGCATATTAACCCCATCAATATATCATATCTGTTAACAAAGCGTAGGTTTTCATCAGACTCTTACGCCGACACCGACAGACTCTATACTGGTGACTCTGACAATGGTGGAAAGAACGTTTTTGGATGTGTTAAACAGCTTTACATTCTTAAGAAGAAGAACCGTAATTTAAAGGTGATTCTACTATCATGACCAAGCAGCCAAATGTGAAATTGCTAAGACGTACGAACAGGTGCTACTTTCAATCGGCGGCTGGAATAACAGTCCAGATCTCGCCACTGGTGTAAGCACACAGGACCGTCGCAAGAAGTTCATCTCTTCCGCCATAAAGCTAATCACTGACTGGGGCTTCGATGGAATTGATGTCGATTGGGAATACCCTGTCAATGCCCAAGAAGCTCGCAGCTATGTCTTGATACTCTCGGGTCTCAGAAAAGCCCTCGACCAGTACTCAAAGAACAACAAACTGAACTACCATTTTATGCTTACTGTTGCTACATCAGCCGGTCCAGCAAACTATAAAGTCATGGATTTGAAAGGAATGAACCCATGGATTGATGCTTGGCACCTCATGGCGTACGACTATGCTGGCTCCTGGGATACTACAACTGGTCATCAGGCCAATGTTTTCATTTCTAAGAAGAATCCTCTTTCAACAAAACTTGGCACTGACAAGACAATTAACGATTACCTCGCGGCGGGAGTTCCCCCAAACAAGATTCTCATGGGCATGCCTCTTTACGGGCGTTCATTTCTTAAGACAGCTGGACTGGGAAAGACCTACTCCGGCGTAGGCGGCAATTCTGAGGGAACTTACCTATACAAGGATTTGCCACGTTCTGGTGCCATAGCTACCTACAATGCAGACCTGGTAGCCAGCTATTCATATGACAGCAAGACGCGGGAACTTATCACTTACGATGATCTCAAATCGGGTCAAGCCAAAGCCGCTTATATCAACCAGCGAACCCTTGGTGGTGCTTTCTTTTGGGAGGCGAGTGGAGATAAGGTTGGATCCCAGAGCATCGTTTCTGGTGTAAAGCGCACATTGGGCACTCTTGAGACGGTCAACAATCTCTTGAAATACCCCACGAGTGTATACGCCAATATACGAGCTGGAATGCCGTCTTGATTTGGCGAACAGCGCTGGCTGATTTTCCTTGGTGCTGGACTTTGTGTACGGATATGTGTTGGGTGTGTTTGGAGTCTTGGGAATATTCCATTTGTCGTCTGTGTTTTTGGGATGATGTGATTGGGAACTTGTCACTGAATAGAATATAGAAAAGCCCTCGTTCGGTACCTTACATGATATTACATTCATTTGTTCACTTGAACCGCTCTTCTCGTAAAAGTCAGGGGCAATTTCCTTCGACCCATGATTGCCATTCATTTATATTTCTATTATACCAGATATTGTATTCTAACCTACCGCTCAAGCAAGAATGAGACAGTTGATG